CCCCCACCTTGGGGATGGGGGCGGGGTGGGCAGGGTGCTGAGAGCAGGCCGGGTCCCACCTATGGACCACTGAGGTCCAGGGCCCCCAGGAGATGAGCCGAGCCCCAAAAGCCCACCCTGGTCCTCTGTTCACTGGCGGGGGTGGGGGTCGGGGCAGAGTGGCTGGAGCATCGAGGACTCGGCTTCTCTTTGTCATTACTTAACATCCCTGATGAGAGAGCCACAGCCCGGCTGCCTCCTGCAGACCCCTCCTGGGATAGAGCCCACAACCCTGGCCTGTGCCTGACCTCCTGGTCCACAGGTCGATGCTCAAGCACTGAGCCACACCGGCCGGGGTGGACTCAGCGTCTACCCACAGCCCGGGGGCTCCCATCACCCCTAAGAGACCGGCTCTGGCTCCCCGGTGCTCTGTCTCAAGGCCAGGATGTGGGGGTCCCTTCGGCCAGGCGGCCCCAGGCTGCTCACGCCAGGCCTGCCACGGCCATCGGGTCCCCAGGAGAGGACACCCCAGCATCAGGCCCCAGCTCCCCGCCCTGAAGGCTCGGGGTGCGGGGCTTTGCTCCAGAAGCCCCAGGCCACGTGGCCGAGGGGTTCCTGCCGCCGAGGGGGGCTCTGGGGATACACCGGAGGGATCCCAGCTCTGCGGTGGCCCGCCTGGCCTGAGGCCCCTCCTGGCTCGGTGCTGGGGCTGGGCTCTCAGCTGGCGAGAGAGAGGGCCTCCCCTCGAGGTGAGCCTCCGGGGGGCGGGGCGGGGAGTGGGGTGCCCCCCCCCCCCCGGGCCCCCTTCGCCTCGGCAGCTGGGGCTCGGAGCCGCCCAGGTGGCTGTGCGAGGCGGGGCGGCTGAGGCAGAGGCAACAGCTGGGCCCCAGACAACCCGCAGCAGCTGGAGCCCAGAGCCGCCGGCCCGGGCCCAGGAGGGAGCCAGCCCTGTGCCGGGGCAGCCCCTGTCCATCCGGGCCCTGGGGCTGGGGCTGGGGCTGCTGGACAGCACTGTGCTCTGAAGGCCGGGAGGGGCCTGTCGGAGTCAGAGCCGGGTTCCTGGGGGGCCTGTGCACTGACGCCCTCCACCCCCTCCTCCCTCTCCCCCAGGTTCCCCCACTACCGCCAGTCTGGGCCCCGAGTCGGCCCCAACTTGAACTCTAGCTCTTTGGTTCCTGAAATGTTCCGTCTCTGGCACCCTTTCCCGGGAATCGGGGACGTGTCCGGGGAACCACACTCCCGTCCTTGAGCTAACTCTGTGCTCCCCTGGGATCCTGCCCCCCCCCCCCAGGGCTTCATCCCCTGAAGAACAGCCCTGCACACGAGTCCGACTCCTAGGATGCCCCTCCTACAAAGGCAGGCCCCTCTGAGCTCTCGTTTCCCAGGCTCCCTTGCAGCTGGGCACACAGGACGTCAGCTCAGCCACAGGCACCCGGCGTCCAGCAAACCGGAACCGGGAAGCAGAGGCCGGAATGACACGGAAGCCACCCTGGAGGGGGCGGTCAGGGAGGGGGGCTGGACAGAGAAGGCGGGTCCCACGTCCAGCATCCGGTGTCCAGGGTCCACTGGGCCACTGCCGCACGGCACCCTGGGACATTGTTCCTGCTCCTGTTCCTCAGGCTGAGTGCCTGCCCCGAGACCTTCCACCAGCCCTGAGTGCGCGGGGACCTGGTCCCCCTTGGTCCCCGAGAGACGGCCAGCATCCGCCCAAGAGTGAAAACAGGACTCAGCACCTGCTCACGGCCCCTGCCCATCCTGCCTCCCTCCACACTCCCATGACCCCGCGAGGCAGGTACAGGGGAGGAAACAGGCTCCGAGCCCAGCCTCAGGCCCGGCGGGGGCAGAGCCAGGCCCCGGGGCAGAGACTGGGCCTCAGCACCCCCCACGTGCGGCCCTCAGACCTGTGTCTGATGAGCAACGAGCACAGAGTATGTCCCACCTCCCAGGAGGGTTGCCGAGCTCCCCCTCCTCCCCGTCACCTGCCATCCTGGTCTGACCCGTGGTGGACTGCTTTTTTTTTGTTTGTATTTAAATGTATTTTTATTGATGTCAGAGAGGAAGGGAGAGGGAGAGAGAGCGAGAAGCCTCCATGATGCAAGAGAATCATGGACCGGCTGGCTCCTGCACACCCCACTCTGGGGATGGAGCCCGCACCCCGGGCCTGTGCCCCGACCGGGGATCGAACCCTGACCTCCTGGTTCCTAGCCCAACGCTCAGCCCCGGAGCCGGCCAGCCGGGCTGCTGCTCAGAGGCTTGAGTTAACTCACACAGGAGCTCGTCCGGATCCAACGTGCAGGCTGAACCGCATCGCCAGGACGCCGGGGGAGAGAAGACGCCTCTCCAGGCCCCCGAATGCCGCCGGCAGGCAGTCCCCGCGCCGTCCTGCCTGGCTGCGCTGAGCACATTCACGCATGGGCCCCCTAGTCCCACCGGGCCTCTGACGGGGGTGGGGGGCTCGGGGGCACCACTTAAAGAAGTGGAAATGGGGGCAGGGAGAGGTCACGGGCCTGGTCCGGGATCCGCTGGCCAGGAGGTGGCTCAGAGCCAGGCCAGTGTCCGGCACAGCCCTCCGCAGCCCGGCCATCTGGCTGGGAGCCGCCTCCCTGCCAGGGCCTTGCCGGGTCCGTGGGGGGGGGGGGGGAGACCCCTCCAGAGGGGCCTGGGCTGGAAGCTCAGCGGGAAGCTGGCCTGAGAAGCTGGGGAGGCGAGGGTGGGTCTCGAGTGATGGAGCTCGGCCTCGGCACTCAGTCAGCCTCTGGGAGCCGCGGCTCCCTCGTGGGGAAATGGACGTGTGCCTGCGGGGAGGGCCGCCCGGCCGGCCCCCAGGGCATCACCGCAGCCTCCGAGGTTTCCGATCTCAGCACCTCACGCCCCCGCACGCTCACGGGCCTGCCCGCCGGGCGTGTGCAGGGCGGTGTTGTAACTTCCTAATCTCGGCTCATCACTCGTGCTCGGGGCCAAAGGGGCCCGGCACGCAGGGCGACTACAAAGGCAGGGCCAGGCCAGCTGGTGCCACCGCCCGCTGCTGCTCCAGAGGGACTCCGTGCCGCGCCGGGACCCAGCCCGCCCGCCTGCCTACCCGCGCCTGCCTGGCATCCGGAGGGGCCCAGGAAGGCCTGCCCGGGTCCAGCTGTCATTTCCAAAGGTAAGACCTGCTCCTGCCTTTTTTTAAAAATCCTCACCTGAGGACTTTTCCCCATGGATTTTCAGAGAGTGGAGGAGAGGGAAAGACAGAGAGAAACATCCACGTGAGATGGGTGGGTTGCCTCCTGCAGGAGCCCTGGTCCCTCGACCCGAATGGAACCCGGGACCCTTGGCCCATGCTCTGCTCACTGAGCCACACCGGCCAGGGCCTGCCTTTGGTGGGTACGGGGGCATCCACGGGCGCAGGCGGAGGGGAGCGGGCAGAGGTCTGCCAAGGGGCGGTGGGCTCCGTGGCTGCGGAGGGTGAGGAATGCGGCTCTCTCGCCGTCTCCCTGCCCCACAGGGAACACCTCCTCGGTCCACACCGCCCTCCCCTCCTCGGTTCCGACCAGAGGCTCCCTGTGCCACGTGCGGAGGCGGGAGGGTGGAAGGTGAGGCGCTGGGCAGGTACCGCGGCCAAAAGGGTCCGTGCGGAGACCCGGCAGACCCTCCGGCCTCGCCCCCGCCGGGCGGGTCCCGGCCCGGAGCGCAGCCAGGCGCCCCTCCGGTGCCCGCCCCCCGCGGCCTCCGGTCCCTGTCCGCCCGGAGCCGGGCCGGCGAGCCCTCCGCAGCGCCGAGACCGGGCTCGGTCCCTCCGCTCGCCGCCCCGGCCCGGCCACACCTGCCCGCTCCGCCCGGAGGGAGCCGGGTCCGCGGCGCTTTGATCCCGGGGCCCCGCGCCAGCTCCGGAGGCGGCGGCGGGGGTGCGGGCAGCGACCCCCCGCGGAGCCGGGCGCGGCCGGTGAGCGGGGTCTCGGGCCCTCGGGGCGGGGGGTCGTGGGCCGGGGCGCGGGATGCGGGGGGGCCCCCGGCTACACCCGGGCCTGGGCGCGGGGTGCCGCGGCCCTGGGGGTTCAGGTGAGGGCGCGGGTCCGGAGCCCTCGGCCCGTCGGGCAGGAGCCGCCGAGCGGAGTCCCCGCCCCCCCCCCGCCTCCCCGGGGTCCCCGCCCCCCCCCGCCTCCCCGGGGTCCCCCCGCCACCCCCCCCGCCCCGGGCTTACCCCCCCCCGGCCCGGAGCTCCCTCCGCCGCCCCGGGCGCCTCCCCGGCCCCCCCCCGCTCCCGGTTCCCCCCCCCGCCCCGGGCTCCCCCCGCCGCCCCCCCCGCCCCGGGCTTACCACCCCCCCCGGCCCGGGGCTCCCTCCGCCGCCCCGGGCGCCTCCCCGGCCCCCCCGCCCCCGGCTCCCCCCGCCGCCCCCGCCCCGCACACCCCCCGCCCCGGGCTCCCCCCGCCGCCCCCGCCGCGCGCCCCCGCCGCCCGGGGAGGAGGCGGCGGCGCCGGGCTGGCCCCGCCGTGGAGCCGCCGGGGCCGCGGGGCGCTGCCCCCCACGGAGCGGAGCCGGAGCGCCTCCGGCGGCCGCGGCGGGCAGTCGGGCCCCTCCGTCAGGCTGCGGTTTGGGAAGAAAAGGCGCTGCCTCCGCCAAGAGGAGAGGCGCGCGGTCCCGCCCCCTCGCCGGGCCGGGCCGGCGGCGGCGGCACATCTAACGCGCGGGCACCCGGGCGCCGCGGCCCCGCGAATACGCCCCGCGCGGCCCCCGCGTCATTGGCGCGGGCGGGGCCGGCACAGACCCGCTGCCCTCCGAGCGCCGCGCCCGAGCCCAGCCGCCCGGCCACGGCGTCCGCCCGGCCCGCAGCCCCGACGCCGCCCCCGCCGCCCGGCCGGCCCGCGAGGCAGCAGCGCGGCGGGCGCCCCAGCCCCGCGCCCGCCCCCCCGCCCCGCGCCCGGCCCCGCGCCCGCCCCCCCGCCCCCCCGCCCGGCCCCGCGCCCGCCCCGCGCCCGCCCCGCGCCCACCCCGCGCACCGCGCCCATCCCGCGCCCGCCGCTCGCCCGCAGGTGGCCATGGGCCGAGGCGCGCGCGCGCTGCTGCTGCTGCTGGGCCTGCTGCAGGGGGCCGGGGGCGGCGCGGGCAGGAAGGCCTGGCGGCGCCGCGGCCAGCAGCCCACCCCGCCGCGAGCCGAGGCGGCGCCCGCGGCCGCGCCGCCCGTGGAGAGCTTCCCGCTGGACTTCACGGCCGTGGAGGGCAACATGGACAGCTTCATGGCGCAGGTGAAGAGCCTGGCGCAGTCGCTGTACCCCTGCTCCGCGCAGCAGCTCGGCGAGGACCTGCGCCTGCACCTCCTGCCCAACGCGACGGCGACCTGCAACGACGGCAGCCCCGCCGGGTGAGCCCCCGCCGCCCTGTCCGCGCCCGCGCGCCCCGCGGGCCCGGGCCGCGGGGCCCAGCCGCCCCGGCGCCGGACGCCCCCGCGGGCCCTCCCGCCGGCCCCCTCCCCGCCGGCCCGGGAGGCGCTGACCTCCGTCCGCCCGGCTGCGCGCGGGGGTGGGGACGGGCTGGGAGCCCTGGTCCCCGGCCAGCCCGGGCACTGACCCCTCGGCCACCGGTGCCCAGACCCTCCGCCCGCTGTGTCCTTCGGCCCCGGGGCGGGATGTGGCCGCCCCCGGGCGGCCTGGGCTCCTACGGGAGGAGCGAGGCGGGGCGGGGAGCCCGGCTGCACCCCCACCCGCACCCACCCCCACCCTCACCCTCACCCCACCGCACCCCACCCCGCTCACGGGCGCCCCGCTGCCGCCGGGCTGGGCGGAGGGGGGCGGCCAGAGGACGACGGGGAGGGAGCAGGTGGCGCAGCAGGACCTGGGGAGCCGCAGCCCCAGGGAGAGGGGGGCAGGATGGAGGCTGCGGGTCGGGAGGAGGTGGGGACCCCCTGGCCTCGCCAGCCGGCGCCCAGGAACGGGGAGCCGGGTCAGCTCAGGGGGAGGCTGCGACCCCGCCTGGGCGCCCCTCGCCCGGCATCCCGCGCTCCCCTCTGCGGGGCCCTGGCGCCCCCAGCGCCCCCGCCCCCGCCCCCCAGGGCCCGGAATCCGGACGGAGGCCCCCCGCCCCCCGCCCCGCCGGGGAGGCCGCGGGGATTTTCCACGGACACAGCCCCGCGCGGCGTCCCAGGCCCGCGGGCGCCCCCTCCCGGCTGGCCCGGCGCCGCCGTGCGCGGTGCAGGGTCCGGCCGCGGGCGCCCCCGTGCGGCCAGCGCGCCCGGCGACAGGTGGATGGGCCGCCGCCCCCCCCCCAGGCCCTGCGCCTCCCCCGCCCCCCCTTTGCGCCCCGCTGACCCCCGCACCCCCTTTGCGCCCCGCTGACCCCCGCACCCCTTTGCAGCTACTACCTGAAGGAGTCCAAGGGCAGCCGGCGCTGGCTGCTCTTCCTGGAAGGTGCGTCCGGAGCCGGGTGGCGGGTCCCGGGGTGATGGGGGCGGCGGGGTGGTGGGGCGGCGGGTCCCGGGGTGATGGGGGCGGCGGGGTGGTGGGGTGGTGGGGTCCCGGGGCGGCGGGCTGGAGGGGTGGCGGGGTCCCCGGGGCGGCGGGCTGGAGGGGTGGCGGGGTCCCCGGGGCCGGGGCCTGAGCGGTGGGTGCGGCGCCCACAGGCGGCTGGTACTGCTTCAACCGCGAGAACTGCGACTCCCGCTACAGCACCCTGCGGCGCCTCATGAGCTCCAAGGACTGGCCGCGCACGCGCACAGGTCCGAGGGCGCCCCCCATGACCCCCCTCACCCCCATGACCCCCCCCACCCCCATGACCCCCCCTGACCCCCCTGACCCCCCCTCACCCCCAGGACCCCCATGACCCGGGCCGGGCTCCTGGGGCTCACAGCGGAGGTCCTGGCTGCACTCCTGGAGCCCCCCAGCCCCCATCTCCCCCACCCCCTCTCTGAGCTCCTAAGGGGGTCACCGCTCTCCCCAGCTGCTGCTTCCACAGGGAACTTCCAGGGGCGCTTGGGGCCCAGGGAGAGGGGTCACGACGGGGTCAAAGCAGCCGGTGGAGTCAGGGAGGTGGAGGGCCCCGCATCTCGGCTAGGGGCCTGGTCTGTCCCCCACTTTCCCGCCACCTTGGCTCTGCCAGGCACGGCCACCCCCTCGTGGGGACCAAGCAGGAGCTCCCACACCCTGCCCACCCGCTGATGCCCGCCCCCCACAGGCACCGGCATCCTGTCCTCCCAGCCTGAGGAGAACCCGCACTGGTGGAACGCCAACATGGTGTAAGGGGGCGCGGGCGTTCCTCGGGTTCTCCTGGGGGCCCTGACTGGGGGAGGTCTCTCCTGGGCCGGGGGTGGGATGGGGAGGGGGTGGGGAGGGCCGGGGAGGGGGTGGGGAGGGGCGGGGGGCCGGGATGCCCGCGGCTCACTGTCCTCTCCTGCAGCTTCATCCCCTACTGCTCCAGTGACGTGTGGAGTGGGGCCTCGCCCAAGTCCGACAAGAGTGAGTCCCTGCCCCCCCAGTCCCTGCCCCCCAGTCCCCCCCAGTCCTCACCCCAGGGTGCCTGCTCGACCAGGGCTGGCCAGGCCGTGGGGGTCCTCACTCCTGGCTGGCCCATGGGGAGGGCCCCCAGCACTGCCCCACATACTGACCCCCCTCCCTCCGGTGAACCTATCCCCCATCCCAACCCCCAGCCCCCCCCAACACCCCCCCACACCCCCCTGCCTGGCGGAGGAGGCCCACCCTCTGTCCAGGCCCCACGTGACGCCCCCTTTTCCCTCAGATGAATACGCCTTCATGGGCGCCCTCATCATCCAGGAGGTGGTGCGGGAGCTGCTGGGCAGGGGGCTGAGCGGGGCCAAGGTGCTGCTGCTGGCGGGGAGCAGGTGGGTCTGGCGGGGCCGGGGGCGGGGCCTGAGGGATACAGATGGGTCTGGTGGGGGCGGGGCCTGGGGGCCGGGGGCGGGGCCTGAGGGATACAGCTGGGTCTGACGGGGGCCTAGGGGGTGGGGCCTGGGGGGACGGGGGGGGGGGGGGGGGACGGGGGCCCTGATGGGGGCCTGGGGGATACAGGTGGGTCTGGCGGGGACCTGGGGGGAGAGGAAGGAGGGCAGCTGTCTATTGCAGCTGGGAACTATCTGGAGGGAGCCCTGGGCCTTGTGGTGTGGGTGAGGGAGCCCCGTGTGTGGGTGAGGGAGTCTGGGCCCCATGGTGTGGGTGAGGAGTCTGGGCCCCGTGTTGAGGGTGAGGAGTCTGGGCCCCGTGGTGTAGGTGAGGGAGTCTGGGCCCTGTGTGTGGTGAGGGGGCCCCGGGGTGTGGGTGAGGGGGCCAGGACTGGGGGAGTGGTCAGCAGTTAGCTGCAGATGGTGCATCTTCTCCGAGGCCGGGCCCCAGGAGGGCAGGGAGCACGCTGCTGGTCACTGTCCCGGGAGACGTGCAGGGCCTGGGCCATCAGGTGACGGTGAAGGACGGAGGCCGCCCATTCATTCATCCATTTATTTATATTCTTATTGATGCCAGAGAGGAGGGAGAGGGCGTGAGAGAGACAGCCATGATGAGAGAGAATCACGGACCAGCTGCCTCCTGCTCACCCCACACTGGGGACCAGCCCACACCCCGGGCCTGCGCCCGGACCGGGAATGGAACTGTGACCTCCTGGTTCAACCACTGAGCCACACTGGCCGGCCCTCTCTATTTTCAGATCAGGAAACCAGGTGGAGAGAGAGAGAGGGAGGGAGGGAGGAGGAGAGGGAGGCAGTGGGCGCCTGCCCGTTAGTGCGGGGTCAGCAGGGTCAGCGCAGGAGCCGGCGGCCACAGGAAGGGCCCCGGGAGCGGAGCGGGGCTGTGGTGGCGGAGGTGCCGGGCACGGGGCCGCCGCCCCTGCCGCCGCCTCACGCGCCCGTCCCACAGCGCGGGCGGCACCGGCGTGCTGCTGAACGTGGACCGCGTGGCCGAGCAGCTGCAGGAGCTGGGCCACGCCGCCATCCAGGTGCGGGGCCTGGTGGACTCGGGCTGGTTCCTGGACAACAAGCAGTACCACCGCACCGACTGCGTGGACACGGCCACCTGCGCGCCCACCGACGCCATCCGCCTGGGCATCAGGTGGCCGGGGGCCGGGCCAGGGCTGGGCTGGGAGGAGGGTGTCCCCTGGCTGAGGGAGCCCCGGTGAGTGGGGGCGGGGGCCGGGCCGGGGGAGGGTGTCCCCTGGCTGAGGGAGCCCCGGTGAGTGGGGCGGGGGGCGGGGGCCGGGCCGGGGGAGGGTGTCCCCTGGCTTAGGGAGCCCCGGTGAGTGGGGCCGGGGGCGGGGGGCGGGCCGGGCCGGGGGAGGGTGTCCCCTGGCTGAGGGAGCCCCGGTGAGTGGGGCGGGGGGGCGGGGGCCGGGGGCCGGGCCGGGCCGGGCCGGGGGAGGGTGTCCCCTGGCTGAGGGAGCCCCGGTGAGGGGGGCGGGGGGCGGGGCGGGCAGCCTGACGCCGCTGTGGCCCAGGTACTGGAACGGGCTGGTCCCCGAGCGCTGCCGGCGCCAGTTCCAGGAGGGCGAGGAGTGGAACTGCTTCTTCGGCTACAAGGTCTACCCCACCCTGCGCTGTGAGTGCCCGCGGGCTGGGGGCGCCGGGGCGGGACTCCTGCCAGGCCCAGACCACCGCCCGCCGCCGCCCGGGACTCCCCCGGACTGAGCACCGGTCCACTCCGGTGGGGAGGCCAGGACGGGTGTGGGCGGGGGTGGGGTGACTGTCAGCGCCCCGGCTGCTCCTGGGGGCCTGGGGCTACCCCTCTCCGCCCCACATGCGGGGGTGGGAGTGAACTCCCGGCAAAGTGACCTCGCTCAGTAGTGGGCGCCCCCAGGCGCCAGGCCAAGATGGTGGCCGTGGGGGGGGGGGGCGGGGGGTAACAGGGCGCTTTTTGGAGGAAGGGTGGGTGCTAAGGGGCAGCTGAGCTGAGGGGGGCCAGACCTGAGGGGGGCGGCCAGCCGGCCCGGACCCGGGGGCCTGAGCCGGGGGGGGGGGGGGCCGCGTCCGGCGAGAGGCCAGCTGAGCCGTGCCCCCCAGGCCCCGTGTTCGTGGTGCAGTGGCTGTTTGACGAGGCGCAGCTGACGGTGGACAACGTGCACCTCACGGGGCAGCCGGTCCAGGAGGGCCAGTGGCTGTACATCCAGAACGTGGGCCGGGAGCTGCGGCAGACGCTCAAGGACGTGGCGTGAGTTCGGGGCCTTCCCAGCGGGCTCCGGGGGCCAGGGGCCGCCATGGGCGAGGGCCGGCCTGCGGGTGCACGCCGACCCCGGGTCACTCCCGGGCATGGAACCGTGGCCTCCCGGGGCGTGGGTTGATGCTCAACCACTGAGCCACACCAGCCTGGCCAGTCCCCTCCGATTTACTGTGATTAGAAACGTCTCTAAAACCCAGAACCTGCTTTTTAAAAACTAGTGCGCCCCGGCCAGGCCGCTCAGTGGTTAGCGCATTACCCCCCCCCCACGCCAGGTCGCGGGTCCGCTGCCCCGTTGGGGGGCACACACACAGGAGTCCACCGAGTGCATCAGCAAGTGGGTCGATAGATCTCCCATTTCTCTCTCTCTCTCCTCCCTGCCCCTCTCTCAGTGCCAATCAATCAATACATAATTAAGAACAATAATTTCAATAATTATCTGGGCAAAGGGAAGGCCCAGATTAAAAAAATATATATATAGGCGCAGTATTTGCCTCCAGGCCTCTGGCTCCAGGGCTTTTCCTGGAGGATCTGGAGGCGGGAAGGGACCAGGGTTCCCGGAACAGACCGGATAGGTGGGTAGGGACGGCCAGGAGGTCACAGCTCAATTCCTGGTCAGGGCACAGGCCCCTGGGCGGAGGAGCAGCTGGCCAGTGGGCACCGCAGCAGGCGGGATGGGGAGGGACCGGCCCTTGAGCCTCGGGTGGGGAAGGGGCCGGGGTGGGTGGCCGCTCACGGCCGGCTGTCTCGCCCGCACAGCGCCAGCTTCGCCCCCGCCTGCCTCTCCCACGAAATCATCCTCCGGAGGTCAGTGTCCCCGCACCCCTTACCCTGGGCCGGCTCAGACCCCTGCCTCTCACCCCCACCCACAAACACCCCCCCACCCCGCTGCCCACCCGCCTGCTTCCCAAGCCCCTCAGACACCGCCGGCGGGCGGCAGGAACCCAGTGGCCGCGGGCTGTCCCCTGATCGGCCGCCCCCCGCGTGGCCCCCGTTTCTCTGCAGCCACTGGACGGAGGTGCAGGTGAAGGGGACCTCGCTCCCGCGGGCGCTGCACTGCTGGGACAGGAGCCTGCACGAGGGCCTCAAGGGCAGCAAGGCCCCCCTGAAGGGCTGCCCCGTGCACCTGGTGGACAGCTGCTCCTGGCCCCACTGCAACCCCTCCTGCCCCACCATCCGCGACCAGTTCACGGGGCAGGAGATGAACGTGGCCCAGTTTCTCATGCACCTGGGCTTCGACGTGCAGACCCTGGCCCAGCAGCAGGGCCTGGAGCCCAGCAAGCTGCTGGGGATGCTGAGCAGCGGGAGTTAGGGCGCCCCCGGGTCCCCCCCCCCCCCCCGCCCCTGGGCCAGGGCTGCGCGCCCCCCCCCTCCCCGGCACCCCGGGCCAGGCCCCGGCCCCCTCCCCTGTGCTGGGTCTGGACGCCCACCCTGGCTGCCTTCGCCGCCCCCGGACCCCGGACACTGCCTCCCCGCCCCCGCCCACGGTGGGGAGCCCGCCCCCCGGACCCTCAGCCCCGGCCCTCGGCCCAGCCTCCTGCCCTTTTGTATTATTTTATAAAGTGACTTTTTTATTACTTTAATTTTTTAAAAAGGAAAATAAGCAAGAAATATATGATGAATGATATTGTTTTGTAACATATATTTTTTAAATAACGGGATTAAAATAAGACGACAAATGAGCTTTTCTCTTCGGGTGTGTTTGTCTGAACAGGCAGTGGGCCCGTGTGGCACCCTCCCTGCCCCCCCACCCCCGGCCGGCCGGCCACCCCAGCCCCTCCGCCGGGAACAGGAGGGGGCTGGGGACGAGGCCACCCCGACCCCACGCCCCAGGCCAGACCCCGAGGAGGGGCTGCTCCCGCTCCGATGGCCCATGCGCAGCGCAGAGACCTCAGGGGACAGGGCTGCCGTTCGTTTACCCGCCGCCTGATAGCAGGCGGTGTGCGGTCTCACAGGGATGGTCTCGCCAGCACGGCTCAGCGTTTGCACTGAGGAAGGTGTGGCCACCGGCATCTCCAGTCAAAACATCAAACATCATCACCAGCCCAGCGGCTGCCAGCTCCTCCCCAGTGGGGGCGTGCAGGAGGCAGTCCTCAGCGATTCTCTCTCCCAAGGATGTTCTATCGCCCTCTCCCTTCCTCTCTGAAATTAATTTTGTAAAAAGGGAAATAACATCTCACACACACACACACACACACACACACACATAAAACCTAATATGCAAATAGACTGAACAGCAGAACAACCCAACAACTAAACAACCAGTCGCTATGATGTGCATGACCACCAGGGGGTGCATGTGTACCATGGCAGCACGGAACATGGTGGGCATCGTCCGCAGTGCGAGCGGCGGCCCCATGACCCCGGGGGCTTCTCCACCTCCTGCTCCTGAGGGGCGACCAAGACAGCAGCTGCTGCCCACCCCCGCGCTGGCACCAGCCCTGTCGCTCCGCGCCATCAGGGGGTGCAAGTGGGGCAGGGCTGTCAGCCATGGGGGCGGCAGCAGCGGGAGTGGGGCTGCCAGGGCCGTGAAGGGAGGGCTCGGCGGGGGCGCAGAGGATGGCTGAGACCCCCCTGTGCCCACCGCACCTCATGGCCACAGTTCCTTTTTTCTTTTTCCAATATATTTTATTTACTTTTCACAGAGAGGGAGAGGGATAGAGGGTCAGAAACATCGATGAGAGAAACATCTACCAGCTGCCTCCTGCACACCCCGCACCGGGGATGTGCCCGCAACCAAGGTCCATGCCCTTGACCGGAATCGAACCTGGGACCCTTCAGTCCGCAGGCCGCCGCTGATCCACTGGCCACACGGGCCACGCCCCCAGGTCCTTTTAAGGTGCAGAATTCGGGCCGGTCTGGAAAAGAAGAGCCAGGCACTCAGCCAGCCGCGCCCCTGCTTCCCCGCAGGCAGCGCGACCTTCGCGGCCGGCCGGCGGCGGCCCGTTAGCTCAGCGTCCGCACTGACTCCAACTCCACGGTTTCCCGCGACCGCGAGGGGCTGAAGGCGGCAGGACGCGCCGGCTGCCTGCCCCTCCCTTGGCTCCGAGCCGCTTCCACCCCCGCCCGCTCGGCCGCCCCGGACCCGAACCCGCTCAGCCGCCCCGAACCCGCACCCGCTCGGCCGCCCCTAACCCGCACCCACTCAGCCGCCCCGAACCCGCTCGGCCGCCCCGAACCCGCACCCGCTCGGCCGCCCCTAACCCGCACCCGCTCAGCCGCCCCGAACCCGCTCGGCCGCCCCGAACCCGAACCCGCTCGGCCGCCCCGGCCCCGCTCGGCCGCCCCGAACCCGAACTCGCTCGGCCGCCCCGAACCCGAACCCACTCGGCCGCCCCGAACCCGCTCGGCCGCCCCGACCCCGCTCGGCCGCCCCGAACCCGACCCCGCTCGGCCGCCCCGAACCCGAACCCGCTCGGCCGCCCGGAACCCGAACCCGCTCGGCCGCCCCGAACCCACTCGGCCGCCCCGGACCCGAACCCGCTCAGCCGCCCCGAACCCGCTGGGCCGCCCCGAACCTGAACCCGCTCAGCCGCCCCGGACCCGAACCCGCTCAGCCGCCCCGAACCCGCTGGGCCACCCCGAACCCGAACCCGCTCAGCCGCCCCTAACCCGCTCGGCCGCCCCGAACCCGAACCCGCTCGGCCGCCCCGAACCCGAACCCGCTCGGCCGCCCCGGCCCCGCTCGGCCGCCCCGAACCCGAACCCGCTTGGCCGCCCCGAACCCGCTCGGCCGCCCCGAACCTGAACCCGCTCAGCCGCCCCGGACCCGAACCCGCTCGGCCGCCCCGAACCCGCTCGGCCGCCCCGAACCCACTCGGCCGCCCCGGACCCGAACCCGCTCAGCCGCCCCGAACCCGCTGGGCCGCCCCGAACCTGAACCCGCTCAGCCGCCCCGAACCTGCTGGGCCACCCCGAACCCGAACCCGCTCAGCCGCCCCGAACCCGCTCGGCCGCCCCGAACCCACTCGGCAGCCCCGAACCCGAACCCGCTCGGCCGCCCCGGCCCCGCTCGGCCGCCCCGAACCCGAACTCGCTCGGCCGCCCCGAACCCGAACCCACTCGGCCGCCCCGAACCCGACCCCGCTCGGCCGCCCCGAACCCGAACCCGCTCGGCCGCCCCGAACCCGAACCCGCTTGGCCGCCCCGGCCCCGCTCGGCCGCCCCGAACCCGAACCCGCTTGGCCGCCCCGAACCCGCTCGGCCGCCCCGAACCCGCTCGGCCGCCCCGAACCCGAACCCGCTCGGCCGCCCCGAACCCGCTCGGCCGCCCCGGACCCGAACCCGCTCAGCCGCCCCGAACCCGCTGGGCCGCCCCGAACCTGAACCCGCTCAGCCGCCCCGAACCCGCTCGGCCGCCCCGAACCCACTCGGCCGCCCCGAACCCGAACCCGCTCGGCCGCCCGGGGCCCGCAGACTCCGGCCGCCGCCCGCCTCCCTGAGCGCTGGCCTCCCAGCCTGTGTCCAGGCGCTCCTGCTCTCCCTCAGCCTGGACGCCTGGCCCCACGCTCCCTCATCCTCTTCTGCCCCCGTCAGTCTGGCTCAGTGGATGGAGCGTTGGCCTGCAGCCGTGGTCGGCAAACTGTGGCTCTCGAGCCACATGTGGCTCTTTGGCCCCTTCGTGTGGCTCTTCCACAAAATACTCGGCCTGGGCGAGTCTACTCTGAAGAAGTGGCGTTAGAAGAAGTTTGTGTTTGTTTGTTTTTTTAATTGATTTTCCACAGAGAGGAGGGGAGAGGGACAGAGAGCTAGAAACACTGATGAGAGAAACATCGACCAGCTGCCTCCTGCACACCCCCCACCGGGGATGTGCCCACAGCCAATGTACATGCCCCCGACTGGAATCGAACCTGGGACCCCTCAGTCTGCAGGCTGACGCTCTAACCACTGGGCAAAACCGGTTCGGCAGAAGAAGTTTAAGTTTAAAAAATTGGCTCTCAAAAGAAATTTCAGTTGTCCTGTTGATACTCGGCTCTGTTGACTAAGTTTGCGGACCATTGGCCTCGGGGAAAATATGCTCATTGTGATATTTCGCAATGCTTCCGTGAATAGGAGCCTTTCTGAATGAAAGTGGGGGAAATAGACATATTTATGCAATTACACACACACACACACACACTCACACATTCATACCCACACACTCACACATTCATACCCACACATACACTCACACATTCACACACACACACTCACACACACACACTCACACATTCATACACATCCACACATTCACACATACACTCTTACACACACACACACACATACACTCTCACATTCATACACACACATACTCACACACACTCACACATTCATGTACACACACTCACACATTCACACACACACAAACACACACTCACACATTCATACACACACACTCACACACACATTCACATTCACACATACACTCTTACACACACACACATTCACATTCACACATACACTCTTACACACACACACACACACTCACATATTCATACACACACACTCACACATTCATACACATTCACACATACACTCTTACACACACACACACTCACATTCATACATACACATACTCACACACACTCACACATTCATGTACACACACTCACACACATTCACACACACAAACACACACTCACACATTCATACACACACACTCACAAACACATTCACATTCACACATACACTCTTACACACACACACTCACACACATACACTCTCACACATTCATACACACACATTCATATACACACATTCACATTCACACATTCACACATACACTCTTACACACACATACACATACACACTCACACACACATTCACACACACACACACACACACACACACTCACACACACGGTCCTCATAGTGGTCTAATCCAGCCTTGATGGGGGTTGGGGTATTCCAACTCCCACACTCAGAAAGAAATTTTTTATTTTCACTGTTTCATACATTTTACTGTTTCAGCCTGAAAGGGGCTGAGTTTCTTCCAGGCGCTCACATGTCAGACAGGGACGAGTGAGAGCTCCATAATGCCCCATAATAACAACTCCATAATGCCCCCCATAATAACCACTCCATAATCCCCCATAATAACAGCTCCATAATGCCCCATAATAACTCCATAATCCCCCATAATAACAGCTCCATAATCCCCCATAATAACAGCTCCATAATCCCCCATAATAACAGCTCCATAATCCCCCATAATAACAGCTCCATAATGCCCCATAATAACAGCTCCATAATCCCCCATAATAACTCCATAATCCCCCATAATAACAGCTCCATAATGCCCCCATAATAACTCCATAATGCCCCCCATAATAACAGCTCCATAATCCCCCATAACAGCTCCATAATCCCCCATAATAACAGCTCCATAATCCCCCATAATAACAGCTCCATAATCCCCCATAATAACAGCTCCATAATCCCCCATAATAACAGCTCCATAATCCCCCATAATAACTCCATAATCCCCCATAATAACTCCATAATGCCCCATAATAACAGCTCCATAATCCCCCATAATAACTCCATAATCCCCCATAATAACAACTCCATAATCCCCCATAATAACAGCTCCATAATGCCCCCATAATAATAGCTCCATAATGCCCCCATAATAACTCCATAATCCCCCATAATAACAGCTCCATAATGCCCCCATAATAACTCCATAATCCCCCATAATAACAACTCCATAATGCCCCCCATAACAGCTCCATAATCCCCCATAATAATAACTACAGCTCCGCCCGGGGCAGGCTGGGGCTGGGAGGAGAACCAGGGCGGTCCCCAGGAGCCCCCTCCCTTCCCAGGCTCTCTCTCCCCACCCCCACCCCCACCCCCACCAGAGCAGCAGAGCAGAGACAGGGCCCGGGACCATGCCAGCCAGTCCAGTCTGGGTCTGGACCCAGCCACCCGCACCCTGCCCCTCCCCCCTCCTGCCGCCCTCACCTTCCGGCAGCCTCCCCCTCCGGTCCGGCCTGGAGGCTGGAGCTGCAGGGACAGTGACCGGCCCCTCTCGGCGCCCCTCCCCCGCCCGCCCTGCAGGACCAGGAGCCGGGGCTGCGGGGAGGCGGAGCCGGCAGCCTGGGTTAACGGTCCGGGCAGGGCTGGGATGGGACGCGGTCAGGTGTCCCCCTGGCAGGGGCACCGGCTGCTATTCCCAGGCTCTGATCACCCGCCTATTTATAGCCGGCCGCTCCCTGCAATGTCACGGGCGTCCCTGCTACTGCAGCCGCTGCAGCCGCCGCGCTGCCGAGCCGAAGGAGACGGAGCGGCCCCGCCCGGCAGGAGCCCCCCGGCCGCTGTGAGCCAGGAGGCGGCCGTCCGTCCGTCCGATGGGCAGCACCATGGAGCCCCGCGGGGGCGGGTACCTGCACCTGGGCGCGCTGACCTCCCCCGTGGGCACGGCCCGAGTGCTGCAGCTGGCCTTCGGCTGCACCACCCTCAGCCTGGTGGCCCACCGTGGCGGCTTCGCGGGCCCGCAGGGCGCCTTCTGCATGGCCGCCTGGGGCTTCTGCTTCGCCCTCTCGGGCCTGGTGCTCGGCTGCGAGGTGACCCGGCTGCACTGCTGCCTGCGCCTCTCCTGGGGCAACTTCACGGCCGCCTTCGCCATGCTGGCCGCGCTGCTGTCGGCCACGGCCGCCGTCCTCTACCCGCTGCACTTCGCCCGCCTGCAGTGCCCGCCCGCGCCCGCGGGCTGCGCCGCCCGGGACTTCCGGCTGGCCGCCAGCGTCTTCGCCGGGCTGCTGTTCCTGGCCTACGCGGCCGAGGTGGCCCTGACCCGCGCCCGGCCCGGCCAGGTGGCCAGCTACATGGCCACGGTGTCCGGGCTCCTCAAGATCGTCCAGGCCTTCGTGGCCTGCATCGTCTTCGGGGCGCTGGCCCAGGACGCCGCCGGCTACCGGCGCTACGCGGCCACCCAGTGGTGCGTGGCGGTCTACGGCCTGTGCTTCCTGGCCACGGCGGCCGTGGTGGCGCTGAGCGTGCTGGGCCACGCGAGCGGCCCCTTCGAGCACGCCGTGGCCGTCTACACCTTCCTGGCCGTGCTGCTCTACCTCAGCGCCGCCGTCGTCTGGCCCGTCTTCTGCTTCGACCCCAAGTACGGCGAGCCCCGGCGGCCGCCCGACTGCGCCCGCGGCCGCTGCGCCTGGGACAGCCGGCTGGTGGTGGCCATCTTCACCTACGTCAACCTGCTGCTCTACGTGGCCGACCTGGCCTACTCCCAGCGGATCCGCTTCCTGCCCGCCCCGTAGCGGCCCGCCGCTGCCTCTGCTCCCGGACGGACGCTGGGCACCGTGGGGGCGCGGCCGGGGAGGCCCCACGGCCCTCCAAGGACTCCGGGCAGCAAAGCCAGCTTGGAGGGGGATTGAGCAGGATCCCAGGTGCAGGGCCTGAGCAGGATCCCAGAGGGACTGTCACCAGGCAATCCCAGCCCAGCCCCTCCCTGTCTCCCTGTCTCTATTCTTTCCCTGCCTCTGTCTCTCCATGTCTCTCTCTCCCTGTCTGTCTCCTTGTCTGTCTCTCTCCCTGTCTCTGTCCCTCCCTGTCCCTGTCTGCGGGGTGTTTGCCAGCACTGGGAAGGCTCAGGAATCTGGAGAAGGGCTGCGTGTTGATGAATGAAAGGACTCGACGTGAAATATAAATTCGGGAGGCTCTTTGGGAGCCAGAGGAGACCTAGCTTCAATAAGTTTCCTAATCTCTGGACACAAATTGCCCTAAAGCAGTAGTTGGCAAACTGTGGCTCGAGAGCCACATGCGGCTCTCTGGCCCCTTGAGTGTGGCTCTTCCACAAAATACGGCAGCCTGGGCGAGTCTGTGTGGAAGAAGTGGCATTGGAAAAAGTTTACGTTTAAAGAATGTGGCTCTCCAAAGAAACGTCAACCTGTACTGCTGATATTTGGCTCTGTGGACTCACGAGTTTGCTGACCACTGCCCTGAAGCAAAGCAACGAACACCAAAGGCGCGGTGTGGTGCGCGGTGTGGTGCGCGGTGTGGTGCGCGGTGTGGTGTATGTGTGGTGTATGGTGTGGTGTACTGTGGGCATTATCAGGCAGGGGGAGCTGCCTTCGGCTGTTGCAGGTGAGCACATGCAGGTTTTCCGGTTTGGGGAAATGCTTTCGGCTATTCAGGCTGAATAGGAAGCCCGTGGACCTTCTCGAGAACCTTTTGCATTTTATTATATTATACCTTTCAGGAATTCGCCTCCAGCTCCATCTCTCCCTGTCTCCGCCTCTCTCCCTTTCTGTCTTTCTCTGTCTCTCCCTCTCCCTCTCTTTCTCTCCCCGTCTCTCTATCTCTCTCTCTGTCTCTCCAGGGCCTGGCCTCCAGCTCCCTGATGGCCCCCGTCACTCAGGAGACGTGGGGAGGCAGGTGCTGCTGTGACTCCCTCGGCGCAGGGGTTCCCGGGGGAGTCTGGGCAGCCCCGAGTCACTGCCGTCAGCAGCCCGCACTCAGGCTGGACTCGGTGAAGCTGAGAGACAGTTCCCGGGGTGTGGGAGGGACGGTGGCGTGGCCGTCAGGGGCAGCTCAGAGCGGGGAGCCAGGTCCGAGGGGGCCCTGCAGCTCCTGGGGAAGGAGCCGGAACCATGACCAGCTCACTGGCCTCACCGGCCACGGGGAGCCAGGACAGTGGCGTGGCCGGGCCCGCGGCTGGAGGGGACACCGGCGCCTGCGGGACCCGCAGCAGCAAGCAGCGCCACCTGAGCCGCCGAGAAGCTGTTCCCAGCAGGCGCCCATCCCGGCCCCGACGGGCTGTGGCCCCGGGGGGCTGGCAGGCAGCCGCACAGACACGGAGCCGGCCTGGAGCCTCCCTGGTGCTCGCAGCCCGCAACCTCCGTCCGCTCCAGTGCCCGTCCGCCTGGCCGCTGACCACAGGGCCTTTGGGGCCTCGCCAGCCAGCTTCCTCCAGTGAGAGCCCGGCCAGGCCAGGCCAGGCCAGCACGGGCCCCTCGGCCCGGCCACCGGCCCGGGGCCTGGGCAGGAAATAAAGGCCGCGCTCACTCACACCCGGCTCTGGCCAGCGGTCTCTGACCTCCTGGGCCCCCTCGCCCCCATCCTCAGCGGAAACGAGCCTGACCCTGCCTGGCAGGGAGGAGGTGGCCGTGGAGCCAGGGAGGGGTGAGAGACAGCGTGGGGGGATGGAATGACACGAACCCCACCCTGCACTCAGCACCGCCCTGGCCCACACCCAGCAGGGGTGCAGGGCCCTGGCGGGGGACAGAGGGGTGCTGCCCACTGTGGGTGGCAGGACCCAAGCGCCGTGGGCACCGGGCACCCAGCGGACTGGGAGTCCATGGGCCCGCCCGAGGGGAGGGCACTTCGAGGGCCCTTACCCAGGGGGCAGTGGGGCTGGCTGAACCGCAGATCCCCAAAGAGGGGAGCAGCCGTGTCCCAGGGTGTCCTGAGGGCCCACCCGCTGGGGGGGGCGGGGTAGGGGGGACAGTCCCAGGTGACAGGAGCCTGTGGGCCAGGGAGGCCTGGGCCGCAGTGGTCCTTCCTCTTCCGGCTAAGCTTCTGGAACGTTCTCTGTCACCGACTTCCCAGTTCCCGCGCCGTCCGGAGGCCGCGGCCCCAGTGCCCGCTCACACCAATTGTCGCAGGTCCGAGGGGAGGCAGAGGGTGCTCCTGCCGAGCCTGTCCCCGGGACCAGCTGGCGGACTCGGCTCCAGGGCGTCACTGGCTGTTGTCACGGGAAACAGCTCGGTCTGCCAGCCGGGTGGCCCGTGGTGGAGCGCGGACCCAGGAAGCAGGAAGGCCTGGCTGGATTCAGGTCAGGGCACCGGCCGGGTGAGGTCCGATCCCCAGGGGGGCGCGTGCAGGAGGTTCTCTCATCGAGGTTCCCATCTCTCCCTCTCCCTCTCTCTAAAAATCAGTGAGAACGTTTTCTTACAGGAAAGGAAAACAGTACTTTCTGAAGAAGAGGGCTCTGTTCCCCGGTGACGGGTGGTCAGGAGGACTCTCCGGGCAGCCCCTTCCTTCCTGGGAGGGGGTACGGGCCCCCGACAGGCCTGGCCCCTGATCCACCCCGGGGTGATTGCCACACGGGGTCTGGTCACCGGCCTGCCTCTGTGCGCGGGCACGGCGAGGGTCTGAGACCAGGTTTCAGGACAACTTGTCATTTCACCCCCAGAACCGGCCAAGCAGGGCAGTCCCCCCCACCTCCTGTGGGCGCCGAGCGGTCCACAGGATCACTTCCTACCTCCCCTGAACCCCGCTGCTGCCTGGGACCCCGACGTTCCCAAACCCCACACGACTCAGACCAGCTCCCATGAGCCCCGAGCGTGTCCTGGTGGGGGCTGCGGCCATGTGCGCCCTGAGCCCCGGGGCTAAGGGCTTCCCTGGGCCCTGCAGACAGTCAGGAGAGATGGGGGTCCATGAAGCTAGGGGTCCAGGATCACCTCCCTGTTTACCACCTGCCGGAGCGGCCTGTTGGGTAGGCGGACGTGGCAGCAGGCCTAGGACCTGAGGTCATGCAGCTTCCCAAGGGGGCCTGGCCGCGAGGGAGGGGCGGGGGAAGGAGCAGGGCCCTGGGCCCGAGCCTCTCACAGACCCCGCTCTGCTCTGGGCCCCGGGTGATGGCACAGGTGCAGCGGTGGAGAGGGGGTGCTGGGCGGGAACGGGGTGCTGGGGCACCAGACAGGACCTAGGCTTCTCCGGCGCCTGAGCCTCCGTGCTGAGGCCCGGCCCCCACCTCCCGCTTCCCAGCCTCCTCGTACAATTTAAAAATCCTGACAAACGGGAAACAAAATCACACACAACTTTAAGCGACAAGAAAGTTTCAAACCAGTGACACAGGTTAGACGCTTCCATTTGGCAAATCGCTCTCACAGTCACCTCCACCAGGAACACAGGAGAAAGTCTGCCAGCTGGGCCCCTCCACACGCGGTGACGTGTGAGTAACGGGTGTGGGGGCCCCGCCGGCGCCCCCACAGGTCCCGCTCCGAGGGGGGAGCCCCTGTCCAGCCCGCTCCCTGCAGACCCCCTCCCGCCGCCCCCTCCCGCCGCGCTCAGGCCCCCCGCGGGGTCCTGAGGCCCGGATTGGGGGGCCGGGGCCAGGTCAGGGGGTCCTCGGGGGGCCGGGGCCGGGACCCCCGGGTGGGGGGCGGCGGGAGCCGGGCTGGGCCGGCGGGGCGGGGGCCGCGGCGAGTGGATGATGCAACCCCCCCCCCGCCACCGCGCCCACTGATTGGCCGGCGCCCGAGTGCTCGCGCTGCGGATTGGCCGGGGCTGCGGGGGCGGGGCCTCGGGGGCGGGGCCGGGGCGGGGATGCCGCGTGGCCGGCTGCTCCGCGGGCGGGGGGCCACCTGCGCCGGAGGACCGGGTGCGGGCGCCGCGGGCCGGGCTCTGCGGGGGTGCCGCGGGGTGCCCCGGGGGTGCCGCGGGGGTGCCGCGGGGGTGCCACCGGGGTGCCGCGGGGGTGCCGCCGGGGTGCCGCCGGGGTGCGGCGGGGGTGCGGCGGGGGCGCCGCCGGGGGGTGCTGCGGGGGGTGCCGCGGGGGTGCCGCCGGGGTGCCGCGGGGGGTGCCGCGGGCCGGGCTCTGCGCGGGGGTGCTGCGGGGGGTGCCGCGGGGGTGCTGCGGGGGGGTGCCGCGGGGGGTTGGCGTCGCCGGCCCCGGGCGGGGGACCCGGGGGGACGGGAGGGTCGCCCCTGGGGGCTGCTGGCGCCCCCGCTCCCCGATCCCTTCGGGCCGCGCTCCTCCTGCGCCCCGTGCGCGGGACGTTGGGGAGTCAAGTCGGGGCTCGCTGTGGGGGGAGTTGGGGTCCGGGGCCCCGCTTTTGGGGGAGTTGGGGTCCGGGGCCTTGCTTTTGGGGGAGTTGGGGTCCGGGGCCCCGCTGTCGGGGGAGTCGGAGCAGTTCCCGGGTTCGGGGCTGTGGGGCAGCCCCGGGGGAAGTCAGGCCGGTTTGGGGAGGGGGCGGCGCCGGCAGCGGTGGGGTGGCCGGGCCTGGCACTGCCCACCGGACTCCCCCCACCTGCCCGCTCCCGCAGGGGCTCCGGCAGCGCCAGCTCCGAGGCCGGGGCCGGAGTGGACGCCATGAGCGTGGGCTTCATCGGGGCCGGCCAGCTGGCCTTCGCCTTGGCCAAGGGCTTCACCGCGGCAGGTAGTCCTGTGGCGGGAGGTGGGGCCCTCTGCAGTCTGGGGGAGGAGGTGCCTGTGGGAAACGCAGCCCCAGGATGTTGGGGGGCGGGGGCTCTCACCCTGGGTGCTGGGAGTCCTGCTCGCCCTCCTGGGAACCGGCCTTGAGGGAGGGACTGTCCCTGCAGGCGTCCTGGCCGCCCACAAGATCATGGCCAGCTCCCCGGACATGGACCTGGCCACGGTGTCTGCCCTCAGGGTAAGCGCGGGAGACGGCCGGTCAGTGGTCAGTGTCTCTGTCACTGGGGGGCAGGGGAGTGGCCCCAGGGGGTGTGGAGCCTGAGGAGTGGCCCTGGGCCAGAGCATCTCACAGGCCCCGTCTGCTCTGGGTCCGGGCGATGGGTGCGTGTGCAGCGGGTGGGGAGGGCTGCTGGTCGGGAACGGGGTGCTGGGGCCAAACCGGTGTGGGGCCGGGCCACACACTCCCGGGGCTGATAGAGTTTTGGTTCTCCGAAGCTGAGTTAGAGATCCGGACCGAAGTGGGGGGCATGGGCCCAGCGTGGGGCCACCACTCACCCCACGGAGCAGAGGGCAGAGGGCAGGGGGCCGGGCTGCAGCCCAGGGTGGGGGTGGGGTGGGCCGGGGCTGGCACAGAGAGGAGGGAGAGGGAGAGGGAGAGAGAGAAACATCCACGATGAGAAAGAAACATTGATCAGCTGCCCCCTGTATGCCCCTCACTGGGGATCCAGCCCACAACCTGGGCATGTGCCCTGCCCAGGAATCGAACCCTGACCTCCTGGTTCATAGGTCGACGCTCAACCCCTGAGCCACACGGGCCCAGGCGCTTCCTCTACTTTTGGGTGGGAGGGGCGGTTGGGGTGTCAGAGCCCCCCTTCCCTGAGCCCCTGCCCGGCCATGCCCTCACCCAGCAGCCTCTGGGCTGGTCCACGTGATGGCTTTCGGGTGAGAGAGAGGCTGGGGCCAGGCCAGCCCCGGGGGCGGACTGAGCCCGCCTCGGCGTCCCCCACAGAAACTGGGGGTGAGCCTGACGCCCCACAACACGGAGACGGCGCGACACAGCGATGTGCTCTTCCTGGCGGTGAAGCCGCTCATCGTCCCCTTCATCCTGGACGAGCTGGGCCCCCACCTGGCGAGCCGGCACCTCGTGGTGTCCTGCGCGGCCGGCGTCACCATCGGCAGCATCGAGAAGGTGGGCGGGCGGGCGGGGAGGGGGCGGCGGCCGGGCCTCCGGTTCCCATCGGGGAAACGGGCGTGTGGGCCCCGTGAGGACGGGGACAGGCTCAGGGTGAGCCTGTGCGCACCCTCCCCCAGCACCCAGCTGGGCCCGGGCCGGCAGGGACACCCGCTGTTCCTCCCGCAGAAGCTGCGGGCCTTCCAGCCGGCCCCCAGGGTGATCCGCTGCATGACCAACACGCCGGTGGTGGTGCGGGAGGGCGCCACGGTGTACGCCACGGGCACCCACGCCCACGTGGAGGACGGCCGGCTGCTGGAGCAGCTGCTGGGCAGCGTGGGCTTCTGCGCCGAGGTGGAGGAGGACCTGATCGACGCCGTCACCGGGCTCAGCGGCAGCGGGCCCGCCTACGTGAGCACCGGCGGGGCCTGGCAGGGGGCGAGGGAGGACCTCCGGGTGCCTTCGCCAGTCCTTCCCCTCCTCCTCCGGCTCCAGCTGCCATCCTCGCCCGGAGCGGAGGTCGCCGGGACCCTGGCTCAGCCGCCTTCTCCCCGCAGGCATTCACGGCCCTGGACGCCCTGTCCGACGGGGGCGTGAAGATGGGGCTTCCCCGGCGCCTGGCCGTCCGCCTCGGGGCCCAGGCCCTGCTGGTCAGTGTGCTCCCGGCCCTCCGGGGGGCCTCCTCGCTGGGGGCGAGGCAGTGCGCTGGGTGGGGGGCAGGGAGTCGGCACGTGCCTCGGTGTCCCGCCTGCCGGTGTGGGCCGACTCCCTCCCTCTGTCCCCATGCAGGGTGCTGCCAAGATGCTGCTGGACTCGGAGCAGCACCCCGGGCAGCTCAAGGACAATGTCTGCTCCCCGGGCGGCGCCACCATCCACGCCCTGCACGTGCTGGAGAGCGGGGGCTTCCGCTCGCTGCTCATCCAGGCCGTGGAGGCCTCCTGCATCCGCACCCGGTGGGCGCCCCCCCTGCCCCCTCCTCCCTCCTCTCCTCCTCTTCCCTCCTGTCCTCCCTTCTCCCTCCCCCCGTCCCCCCCCCCCCCCCGCACACCCGGGCCCTCCCCTCCCCTCCCCTTCCCTCCTGTCCCCCCTTCTCCCCCCCCCCCAGCCCACACACCCGGGCCCTCCCCTCCCCTCCGCGCCCGCGGCCTGCGAATCCGGGAAGCAGGGCTCTGGGCCTCTGACGCGGGGTCTGCTCAGCCCTCACTCCACAGACACGGGTGGACCTCGGCCCGGCGGTGGGTGGGGCCGGGACCAGCCCCGAGGTCCCCGGGTGCCGTTCGCAGTGCCCTCCCCGTGGTCCTGCCGGAGCCTCTGTGGGCCTGGAGATAAGCCAGCCTCCTCCGGGCCTGGCCGGGGAGATTAGCAGGTTAGACGGGCGGCTCCTGGCGCAGGCCCCGGCTTGACGGAGGCCCGTGACCGCTGAACGGAAGCCAGCGTTGGGAATGCAGGCTCGGCGTCCCTGTCCCGGCTGCGGGCCTTGCTCCCTCCTCCCTCATGGACACCTGGGCTGGAGGAGGTGGATCCTGATCCTCACCCCCCCTCGGGCCCCCGAACAGGGAGCTGCAGTCCATGGCCGACCAGGAGAAGGTCTCGCCCGCTGCCATTAAGAAGACCGTCCTGGACAAGGTGAAGCTGGACTCCCCTCCGGAGGCCGCACCGGCCCCTTCCGGCCACTCCACGCTGCTCCCCCGCAGTGTGGCCCCCGGGGGCAAGAAGGACTGAGGGCCCCCCTGCACCAGGCTGCCCTCGGCTTCCCCGCTCCTGTGCCGGGCGGGCGGCGTGGCCGGGCCTGCCCATGGCTCTGGCCAGCGTGGCTCAGGCGGGGTCGTAGCCAGGGAGGGGTGCCTCACTTCCCAGGGGGTTCACCTCCGGGGTCAGCTGTCCTGGGGCGTGCCCCTCCTAAGCACAGAGGCCCAGGTTCCCTGCCCTGCAGGCCCAGCCCAGGAGGGAGCCCCGTCCCACGCCTGCCAGTTCCACAGCCTCCACGGCAGGGACACCCCCTCGGCGTTGGAGAGGACCGGAGGGTCCCGGCGTCCTGGCCTCACGGGAGGGACCTGGGTGCTTGGCCAGCGGCCAGCTGCCCCTTGCTCCCGCTGGGCATCTGAGAAAAGGGCTCCTCGGGCAGGTGGACATCCAAGGCCCCTATAGCGCTCAGGCCTGACCTTCTAGGTTCAATAAGCTGGTTTCACCCTAGCTGGAGTGGCTCAGTGGGTAGAGCGCCGGCCTGTGGATTGGAGGGTCCCAGGTTTGATTCTGGTCAAGGGCACATACCTGGGTAGGGCTGCTTGACCCCTAGTAGGGGGCATGCAGGAGGCAGCTGATTGGTGATTCTCTCTCACCATTGATGTTTCTATCTCTTTCCCTCTCCGTTCCTCTCTGAAATCAATAAAAATGTTAAACAAACAAAAAACACACACCTGGTTTCCATATCCAACTTCTAACTTTGTCACCACATGTGGAGGGAGGCCCCAGCTGCCCAGAGCGTCACTGGGATCAGGTGTAATGTGAGGGGCTGAGCCAGGCTTCCAGGTGGCCGGGCTGTGGGTGGGGAGGTGAGTCTCGGGGAGCAGGGGAAGGGTGGGGCCCCTCAGGCCGCAGTCACCAGGAGTGTGATGGGATCGGTCCTGTTGGCCGGGTGTGAGGGAGCGGGCCCAGCCTCTGCATCCTCCATTCCGATTTAATGGGGGCAGTGTCTCCCAGGTTCACCCAGGCCGAGGCAGGTGGGGTGGCGGCCCTTAGGGAGCCAGCTGCATTAGGGTTCTCCAGAAAAGCAGGAACACAGGGAGGTTACAGAGAGAGGTTATAGAGGAAGTGGCTACCAAGGCTGCCCTGCAGGGCGGCGCAGGCTGGACACGCAGACGGCTGACATCCCAGTCCCCAGCCCTCGGCAGGGAGAGCCCTGCGCTGGTGTGTCCGGAGTGTCCGAAGGCAGACAGTTCTCCGGGGTCGGACAGCTTCCTTGGCCTCCTGCTGCTTGGAGGAGGCCCACCCACGTTACAGAGGGTGATGGGTTCCAGCCTGCGACTTAATCTTGTGCAGGAACACCCTCACAGACACAGTGCATTGGAGCGGGTCCCAGTCACACTCACACACACAATTAACTCTCAGGGGAGGCCCACGCGCTGCTGAGGGTCAGAGCCTTATAGCATCAGGAGTCTCACCCTTTGTTCACAATCAGGGAACAGTTCCAGAGGGCAGAGGCCTGTGGCCCAGAGGTTGGCACGCCCCCCACTGAGCGCCTGTAGGTGGTGTGGGCTGTAGGTGGTGTCGGGCTGTAGGTGTGGGCTGTAGGTGGTGTGGGCTGTAGGTGGTGTCGGGCTGTAGGTGGTGTCCGGTTGTAGGTGGTGTGGGCTGTAGGTGGTGTGGGCTGTAGGTGGTGTTGGTGCGGGGATGTCCCAGGGGGAGATCAGGGGAGCAGCCGCAGGCCTGTCATCAGTCTCCCCTTCCCCGGGGCCCACTTAGCACCAGGGCCCAGCGCGGCGGGTGGGCGGAGGAGGCGCTTTGGGGACAAAGGGAGCGAGAGGAGAAACCAGAAAAACGGACGGGAAGGCACAACAAAAAGCAGGGGCATGACTGCGCCCGTCCCGTCTCCGCCGGGTGGCCTCCAGGCCTGAGCAGGGCGGCATGCGGGGGGGTGCACCCCCGGCCCGCCCAGGGCGCGCCCCCGCACAGACCCCGGCCGCGGCCCAGCAGGTGGAGCGGCGGGGACACGTGGCCTTTGATTGATCAGCTCCCAGGCCGCTAGGCCCCGCCCCCAGAGCCGGGAAGGGGGCGTGGCCTCAGGAGAGCGCGCTCCCGGCTGGAACCGCGAGACCCCGCTCGGGCAGGGCGCGCGTTGCCAGGGCGACGGCGCCTGAGTGCGCAGGCCCAGTACGACCACGCCCCGCCTCCGCCGCCGCCCGCCGCCGCCGCCGCCGCGCCTTCCCCTTTAAGCCCCGGCCGGTCGCGACGCTGCTTCATGAATGGAGCCCACGTGACCAAACATCATGTGACGTCTGTGGAGCGGCGGCGGCGGCGGCGGCGGCGGCGGCGGCGGCGGATCCCGAGCCTGGTCCGGCCCGGCCTTCCCAGCGCGCTCGGCCCGGCCCGCGCAGGCGGCGAGCCCCACCCCGGGCGCGGAGCCCCCGCGCGGCCCTCCCCACGCAGCCTCGGAGCGCCCGCCGCCCCCGCCCCGGCCTCGGCCCGCCCGGCCCGCAGTGTGGAGGGTGAGTGCGGCTGCGGCCCGGCCGGCGGGCCGGGGGCGGGGGCGGCGGGGGCTCCGGGCCGGGGTGCAGCCGGCGGGACCGCGGCTCCTCCCGGCGGGCCCAGACGGCGCTGGCCGTGCGCCCCCTGCCCCGGGTCTGCCCTGCTCCCGGATGGCGCCCGTGCCTCGGTTTCCCCGCCGGGCGTTGCTGGCCCTGCGCGCGGGGGGCGGGGGCCGGGGGCCGGCGAGGGCGGCGGGCGGGGCGGCGCGGCTGGCTTCGAGGGGCGGGGGGCCCGGAGGGAGGGCGGCCGGGGTGGCGGGAGGAAAGGGTGGGTCCCGGGGGGCGCCTCGGGCCGGCGGAGCAGCGGGCGGCCCGGGTCGGGGCTGCTGATTCATCAGGTGTCTGGGCGCCTTCCCGGGCGCCGTGGCCCCTGGCGGCCCGGGAGGCGGCGCGGGGGGCGCGGGGCGACCCTGGCCGCGCCGGGCCGGCTCCTCGCGGCGCCCGGGCGGGCGGGAGGCTGCTGAGTCATCAGCATGAGGTCACCTCCTCCGGCCCAGCCCGCGGGGGTCCGCGCGGCCGCGCCTCGGCGGCCGGAGCACAAGGCGGCGGCGCGGGGCCGTGGGAACGGGCCGGGCCGGCGCCGCCTCAGCCCGGACGGAGGTTCCAGGGGAGGCGGGGACGGGGCAGCGGGCGCGGAGCCCTGGCCTGTCCTCCCGCCCCGGTCCCCGCTCCGGCGCCGCCGGCCGGCCCGCCCGGCCCGGACAGTTCCCCGAACTGGGAACTAGTTCCCCGCGGAAGGGGCGGGGCCGCGGCGGCTGTGCGCCCCGGGGCGGGAGGGGCGGGAGGCGAGGGCCGGGGGGACCTGAGAGGCCGCGGGCGGGGCCGCCGGGGGCGGGAGGAGGGAGGGTGGGGCCGTCGGGGCGGGAGCCCGGGGCTCCGGGAAGAGCGGGCAGAGTACACCTTGTACCGAGGCCCGCTGCCGCGGACGGGACAGTTGGCAGCAGGTGCAGCTCCACCCGGAAATTGCAAATGAGAGGAAGCAGCGGGCCATAGACGTTGGGGACCAAGGTGTTTGGTGACAGGTCCTGCCCCCCCTTTGCAGCTGGGCCTCTGGGGGGAGGCTGCAGGTGGAGGGCGCTTTCGGGGCTCAGCAGGGGGCTGGGGGGCGAGCAGGCAGTTCCCCATCTCCCCAGCGCTGTCCCCCGGAGCTCAGGTGAGCAGGGATGTGGCCCTGGTGGGTGGGGATGGTTGGGGAGTGACAGCTGGAGGGCGGGGTGTCCCGGGCACCTCCCCCAGGTGTGTGGGTAGTTCCTGGCCTCCGGGGTGCGGGGGTGTTTTGTCTGGACCAGGGCAGAGGACCCTTCTTGCCCAGGGGTTCGTGTCTGCAGAGATTTGCCCCCCACCAGCACACACACACACACACAGGGTGGGGCAAAAGGAGGTTTACTGCTTTGAGTACGTGAAACCTGGAGTTTATTCTTGCACTGTTTGTTAATTGCATTGTTTTCCACACGAACAACTGTAAACCTGCTTCTGCCCCACCCTGTACACACACACATACACACACACACACACACACACGGCCCGGGGCTTAGAGATGCCAGGTGTTTTCAAACACTTCAGCTGATCTTTTGCTGTAACTGTATGCCCTAGGAGGGGAATTTCTTTCTTTCCTTTTGTTTGTTCATGTCTTTATTGATTTTTACTTTTAGAGAGAGAGGAAGGGAGAGGGGTCCGAGAAAAACATCAATGAGAGAGATGCATCATCCTTTGGCTGCCTCCTGCACCCCCCCTACTGGGGATCGAGCCCCCAGCCTGGGCATGTGCCCTGACCAGGAATCAAACAGGTGACCTCTTGGTTCATAGGTCACCGTTCAGCTACTGAGCCACACTGGAGGAGGACTCTCAGTTACTTATGCTTCCGTGGAAGTTTTACTTTTCTCAGAGTGGCGTTTAGGGACTGAGGGCGGAGGGAGTGAGGCAGGACTGGGTTGGGGTCCAGGCCCGCCGGGGAGGCTTGGCCACGGGTTTGCCGGCCTGGAGGAGGGGCGGGAGCCGGCTGTCTTGCTTCTCGCCTCGTGTCCATGGCCTGGAGTTTGGGCCGAGGGGAAGAGCTACCTGCATCTCTGTCCTTCGCGGTGGACTCTGGGCTGTGGGAGGTCCCAGGTGCTGGGGCAGCTGAGGGCCACCGAGGCCTTCTCCACCGAGTGGACTCTGCCCTGGGGGTGAAGGAAGGAGGATGGCTGAGCCCCAGCTTGGGCAAGCCGGAGGGATGGGGCAGCCTCTGCTCGGCCTGGCCTTTGGGGTCCCCTTTGCCTAGCTTCCAGAGGTGCCCTGAGCCCTCACCTGTGCCCTGGCCAGGCTGTCTGTCCCGTCTGTGTGTGTGTGTCCGTGTGTCCTCAGGTGGGCGGGGGCCGGCCCAGAGGCCCAGCCCTGGCTTCAGAGGCCTGCCCCTCCCCCGAGCTCCCGCACACCTTTGATGAGGAGGCGGCTGGCGGCACTAGTGCTGAGTTCAGGCCTTCTGCGGAGGTGAAATCT